CCGCGTCATGGCCATTAAACATTTGGTACAATGGAGCATCCATTGGAGGGGTCATATGAGGCGATCTGGTCTGATCATACCGTGCACAATTCTCCTGCATGCACCCCTGTTCCACTTGACTCCTTTCGGAGACAGTCCGCAAGCCCACTTCGCCTGAAGGCAGCCTTTCTTCGACTTGGATCGCGTGTAACCCCCCAGTAGATCCTTTTCCCTGAGCGCGGCGTCGGCGTCTCGCCTCCTCCCGTTGCTTCATCCGCCGTAACCGCAGGAAACGGTCTCTGGCCTTTCGCGACCGCCATTGTTTCTTTTTGGACTTCGCCGCCTGCACCGTCAAAAAGTCCTTTCGCCACTTTGCAGCATAATGAGTCTTAGCCTCAAGGTAGTCCTTCCGGTCCTGACAGAGGGCGGCCTCCAATTCCGTTGTCGTCTTTGTCCACGCGTCCGGTATCCCAACCTTCTTCATCAGTCTGCGGATTTTACGCGAACTCACCCGGCAACCCTTCCTCCCCTTCAAAAGGATCTTCCACAAGGATTGACGATCCCAAAACTGTTGCATCTTGGGAGACCAGGGCACCAATCCATTAGTGACCCGTCTACATTTGTCCTCCGCCTTTCGCCTGACAACATACATCTGATGGTGCAGGCAGTTATAATGACGACCCATTGTTGCTGTCATGGTCCCTTCATTTAGTTGTAGTTGGTGATGTAGGGACGCCAAGCGAGATGGGATGGAGTATTCCTCGTAGCCCTTGTGAACAAGTTGCAGGTAACGGCGGACTGCTGTAGTATCCAACATAGTAAGTTTGCGGGGTTTGTACGGGGTCTTCTGTGGTTTGTAACCGCCCAAAGATTTCTCCAGATCGATATCAATCCAAAGGCCACGATGGTCGCACGAGAAAAACTCATCAAAGTTGTAGTAGCCTCCAGCCTGTACAGCCACCCCAGAGGTCGTGAAAATGCCGTCGATCGGTGTGCCCCGTTTGTTCCGGTGCTGAGTGGCAACCGTTCGACCAGGGTATCGTTGGAGGATAGCTTCCTCCATACCAACATCGCGAAGACGTTGTCGAAAAGAAGAGGACTTAGTGGAGCTGATGTCCTCATTGGCGTCGACCCCCAAAATTACTTCACATCCTTCATCGCGCCACTGGGTGATGGCTCGAAGTAGGTCCACCATAAAGGCCTCCCTTGGTTCACGCAGTCGACCTTGGGAGCGAAAGAAACTCCGGTGTTGTGCCCACACTGTAGACTCCCCAGTCCCCGGAGGGTTCGGTCGGTACGCAGACACCACAACCAAATCCCTAGAGAACCGACTCCTTGAAGCATCGGAAGCTTCGCAAACTTGATCGTCTGATGTTGGCCTTGCAAACTGCTTGCCTTGGACGCGTACATATGCCCACCTGCCCAATTTAGTGGGGTCCCGACCAAAAGATTTTGCACGGTGGGCAACTGAGTTCAAGATAGTTGCCACACATCCACCGTACTGCGAGCACGAGGCGATGGGGCGAGCTCGGTTCTCATTGTGCGCCACGACCGAATAATATCCCTTAGATGCTACTTGTCGCATCCTATCGTTCCAGTGTTGACCTTCCAGAAGGGAAGGCCAGTGTGTGTTGGTCTCCGCCAACAACGCAATCCCCACTCGTTCTGCTTTCAACCACTGGTTAATCTGTTGTTGTTTCCATCCGGTCGCTAAGGCTGGAATGCCATTGACGTTCTGAAAGACAAGGCGAGTCGATGACTGTAGATGACATCTGTGATCATCGCCAAAAAATCACCAGGGGAAAGAGAACTTAGAAATTCCTCAACTGATGCATGGGGAACACCCGTCGAGGGGCCACTCGTTCTTGATCGTCTGCCTGCTCGCCGTGACCTAGCGGCAGACGATCGAGGGCCTCTCATTGCCCTGCCGTGGAGCGGGAAGCTCCACGGCCGGCCAATGATGTCTTCTTATCCTTCTTACCCTTAACCGGGACGGAGGGAGGAGACTGTTGAGGGTGGCGGAAGATGGGGAAGACCGAAGGGGTAGATGCATCGGATTGGCTCCCCGATCCTTGAGTGTCAGTCAAGGACGGAGTGATGGACTCTGCATTGGTACCACCGTCCCGCTTGGGAGGACGTGCTGTAGGTGCCGTCCTCGGGGCTTGGTCCGGAGTCACCGACTCGACCAAGGATTCGTGACCGGAATGATGGACGAGATGCAGGAACAGGAGCAACAACTGGAAGATGCCTTCAATGATATTGAGATTCGGGACAATGCACTGGAGGCTCAGGAACGCGCCTTGGCACAACAACGTGCGGACAATGCGGCACTGCAAGCACAGCTCGCTGCCCTCCAGAGTCAGGCCAGCCATCTACCTACCATGATGAGTCAGCCATCTCCCACTCTACCCCACAACAATCGCGTGTCTCCTGACCGTCAAGCATTGACCCCACCAGTCAGATCTAGCAACAAAACCTTAGGCAAGTCATCCACCGGGTAGAGCACCATGGTTCCCAACACAGTGACACAACCAAAGAAGGCCACCAAGCAGGGCAAGCCACCAAAACAACCAGACAAGAAGGCCCGTACAAGTACAGGTGTCCAATTTCAGGAACCATCTTCTGCCCAACCCTCGGCGGCCTCGGCTGTTCAAGTAGACACGTCTCACATGGAAGGGGACAACACTACTGCCGCGTCTCAAGATGAGAGCCAAACCTCATCTCTTACTGCGTCTACTCCGCGAGGTGGAGGGTCTCCATTCTTCTCTCCTCCTCCCGGGAAGGCGCACAGTGATGGCGCCAGTAAATCCTCTTGGTCCGCCCGCGGAGCTCCCCGCTCCGCGGAGGGGCCATGAGAGGCCCACGATCGTCTGCAGCTAGGTCACGGCGTGCAGGCAGAAGATCCCGTATTAGTGGCCCGTCAAGTGGAGTCTCTCATGCTTCACTTGACAAATATTTACGTTCTCTTCAAGCAGGGGATTGGTCTGGCGATGATCACCGCCGTCATTCTTCACTGGCTACTCGAATCTGTTTCCAGAATGTCAATGGACTACCAGAAAATGGCAATGATTTCAAGCAGCAACAGATCAACTCCTGGCTGAAGGAAGAACGAGTGGGAATTGCGTTGTTGGCAGAGGCCAAGACGTTTTGGCCTTCTATCAATGAAGGTCATGGTTGGAGTGACAGACTCCGCCAAGCTACAATGAAGTCCGAGCAAAAAGGGTTTTACTCGTTGGTAGCTTACAATCGGCATCAGGACAGATCTGCTGCCACCTTGGCGGTACAATGGGGCGGGTGCATTGCAACCGTTTTGAACCAAGTGGCGCACAGGGCTAAGGAAGCTGGCAGAGACCCCACGGGTTTAGGACAATGGGCCTATGTTCGTCTCCAAGGAAGGAAGTTGAAAGCCCATGGGGGTAATGTTCAGGACTCTTTGGTTGAGGTAAATGACTTAGTTTGTGGTCTGATCTCCAAGGACTTGGTGGTGGTCTCCGCGCATCGTCCCAACAAGCAAGGCCTCGGTGGATCTACAGTATGGGCACAACACAGGCTTCACTTTCATGCAGTGAATCGAAAAGTTAGTCCAAGGAAAGCCTTTGTGGACAATCTTTGCAAACAGATCACCAAATGGCATGATGAAGGATGTGAGGGGGTTTTGGGTATAGATGCAAACGAGGATGTCACTGTTAACGCACCCCAGTCTATCCGCCACCGCTTCCGGGCCTGCGGTCTTGAGGAGGCAATCCTAAAACACCATCCACCACAAGCGACCCACCAGCGCAACCAACGGAACATTCCAATTGATGGTATCTTCACTACTTCGGGCGTACCAATCCTTGCGGGTAGGTACTACGCCTTTGACGAATTCTTTGATTGCGATCATCGCGGCTTGTGGATTGACATTGATCTTTCCACCTCCTTGGGCAACTTCCAACCTCAGAAATCCAACTTCAAGCCACGGAAGTTGTCCCTCTAAGACTCTCAATCTGTACGCAAATATCTTCAATTGGTTCACAAAGGTTATGCCAAGTACTCCATCCCGGAGAGATTGAATAAGCTGAATAAGCGTATTGACCACCTGGGACACCAGATGACTCCTTCCTTGGTGCGCAAATACAACTGTTTACACAGACAATGTATACTGTGAGGCGCCAGGCGGAAGAGAGATGCCGGGCCTTAGCTCCAGGTAAAGTTCCCTGGTTACCAAAAATGCAGAGATTGTATGAGCCTGTGGAAGCTTCTGTTGAAAGGCAAGAAGGGTTGCCGTGTGAGTTCGCGCAAAGTTTGCTGGTTGATGAAGAAGACAGAGTTGCCACAAGCTTGGAGGAAGTCAGCGGTTGATCTGGAGGACTGCCTGAAGCAAGAGCGCTCCATGTACAAGCAGGCCAAGCACACCTACGCAGCTCAATGGAGGAAAGACTTCTTGACAGTCCAAACCAAGGACGCAAAGAAGCATCAGTGGAAGTCTCGGAAGGCCTGTGATAGATTCTTTTGGTTACAATGAATGAAGCAAAGAGAGGAGGCAAGACGCCATTGTTGCGCCCAGAGCAAAGGATCTACAGGGGGCCTTCAGGCTATTCAAATTGAAGAACACTTACCAGATGGTACTACAAGTCTCCGGACCATCACTGACCGCCGCCTGGTAGAAGATGGGTGCATGCAAGAATACACGGCACGCTATGATCAAACACGAGCGCCGTATACCACTCCACCTATGGCCAAACCGTTATATAGCGAATTTACCGGTGAATTCTCTGGCATGGTTGGAAGGCCGTTACACATTACCTGATCTGCTGGACCCAGCTACGGCTTCTTTCTTATCTCACTGCCGGTTTCACAAAGGGCACTCTCCAGTCCACTTGCAAGTCTCCAAGGATGATCACGTGTACTTCTGGTTGCGGAACCCTGAGAATAAAGGATCCGAACCTCATGGACTACATAATGGACACCTTAAGGCGGCTATCCAGTCTCCATCTATAGCGTACTGTGATGCCCTCTTCCGGAACATTCCTCTCACCACAGGGTTTGTTCCTCTTCAATGGCAAAACCTGATGAACTTTGCCATTGGAAAGAAGCCGGGAGACTTCCGCCTATCTAAAATGCGCACCATCCAGCTGATGAATTCCGAGGCCCAGGCAAACAATAAGAAGGCGGGCCGTGCAGCCATGCAATTTGCCTAAGCGCACTCCTTGATACCCGACGGGCAATGCGGCTCACGCAAACGTCATCAAGCAATTGACCTGGCCTTGTCTAAACGATTAGTGTGGGATCTACTGATCCTTCAATGCCACGCAGCGGGGTGGATCTTGAATGATGCCAAGTCCCGCTTTGACCGTGTTGTCCACTGGGTGGCCATTGTCACAATGTTGCGGTTTGGCTTGACACAGCGTGTCCTATCATCGATGTTCAACATGCTCTCCTCCGCTACCCACCGTGTTTGCACAGGTTTTGGTGACGCCAAGAGAAGCTTTCGCTGACATTCCAAGGTTGTGGGCAAGGAAATGGTGCCGGACCCCCCATTTGGATCTCGGTGAGCTCAGTGCAATCAATCCGGAGAAGTCCTTCTGGTGGCTTATTGACTTTGAATGGGATGCTCGCAATGGTCAGTGGAGATTCCGTAGGAAATGCTCTTAAGATACAGGGGTTATACGATGACATTGAACCCCTTCATCGCCTTGAATCAGATGATTCCGAACGTACTCTGGGGGTGATGTTGTCGCCACTGGAAAATCACAACGCACAGGAGGCACAGTGGGTCTCTAAAGCTAAAGAGTGGGCCAAACAGCTTCGGACTTACCTGCTACACAAGTACGACGTGTTACCCTTAATCCGGACCACAATCCTGAAGAAGCTTGAATATCCTATGGCACTCACTACCCTCAACGCTCAACAATGGCAGGACATTATGTCACCGGTTCTCCAGGTGTGCTTACTTAAGTCAGGTGTTTGCCGCAACTTTCCCCGTTTGGTGGTCTTTGCCCCGGTGGATTATCAAGGCCTTGGTGTTCCTCACCCCTTTGGCAAGCAAGTGTACAAACACTTGGAGATGATCCTGCGCCATATGTCGGGGGGTAGGAAGACTGGAGCCTACATGGACGCCAATCTCCAGGCTCACCAGCTGGAAACCGGTACCTCCTTTGGTCTTCTACAGCAAGATTACCAGAATACATCCATTCTTGCTTCTGATACCTGGCTTAAAAGGGTATGGAAGGAGCTTGAATCTCTGGATATGTACATGGCCTTTGACTCTCCGGCCCTATCTTTAAGGTGTTATCATGACGCTCTCCTGATTGACTTGTTCATTGATCTTGAGGTTGATCAGGACGACCTTCTCTCGCTTAACTGGTGCCGGATGTTCCTGCAAGTAGCCACAGTATCAGATATCACTACGGCTGATGGCCGCTATATCCGGCAATGCATCTGGAATGGTTTCCGCGACGACACTTATCGGACTCCATATAACTGGCCTCGAACGGTACAACCCAGGCGTCCATATTGGGAACTCTGGCAAAGAATACTGTCCCGCGCGCTCTTGCCTTCACATGGTCAGCACCACCCTCTGCTCCAACCCATGGGACATTGGCACGACCACTTTGAGTCTTGGAACTGGCTCTGGTCGCCGACTGTTGGGTTGTTTCATCGGGAGGGGGCTGCATGGACCCATCTTGCTCTTGTAGGTTCCTCTACAACTTCTCGGCGCTATGCTCCATCTGGCAGTCACAGTGGGACGGATAGCCTACAACGACAAAGTTCTTGGTGGACTTGCCCTTTGCCTTCTGACGTCCTGCATGCCACAGTGAGGCCCCTCTCTGGTAGCGACTGGGCGCTCTTCACTGGTACAGGTCTCCCAACCTTGCCTCCCTCTGACCTGACCCCCTCCATCCTCAATGCCTGGCAAACCTCTGCCGACCTCTGCACAGACTACTAGACGCTCGACCACTGCCTTGATCAATTGCATGTGTTCTTCATAAGAATTAGAAAAGAGTGCAACATTGTTGATGTAGACTTCAACACCTTGCTCTTTTAACCCATGCAATGTTTTCTCAATGTAGTATTGAGCAGCATCAGGAGCAGGTTTCAATCCCATCGCCATTTGTTGATACTGATATTTGCTGTATTGTGTGACAATTGTGCACAATTCTTTACTTTCATTGACAAGCTCAAAAGAATAACACATCATTGTGAGATCAAGTTTTGTAAAGAATTTGTAACTAGCATGACAAGAGACAACTTCATCAATCAATGGCAATGGATATACTTTACGTTTGAGAACCTTGTTCAACTCATGAAGATCGCTAATCCATTGTACTTGGCCATCCTTTTTAGGAATGATGAATGTAGGCAAAGCCCATTCTGTTGGACCGCATTATTTGAGTACATTAATGGCTTCCAAATGGCAAAGTTCCTTGAGAAAAGCATCTTGATGCTTTACAGGAACAGAGTACGCTTTGGAATGGACAGGAACAGCACCGTCTTCCACTTCCAAAGGGATCTTCTCGTGTTTGTAGTGTCCAAGGTTGTCATCAAAAAGCTCTTGTGTATTTTCCAATGCAGTTGCCAAGAGATTTTGTTGTTCAGTTGTCAAATGGACTTGCTTGGATGCAACTTCATGACCAGTTGTTGCTTCATATTTGGCAACAAGGATGAAAGCATTGTCAGCAATATCATCATCATCATCATCATCATCATCATCATCATCAAGAATGTCCAAATAGCCACTATCCAAAGCAAGAGTCCAGTGGTATGATTTTGCCAGTGAGTTTTGGATTGCATCAAAATGATCTTGTCCATCCATCTCACTTGATGATTTCAAAAATCAATCACAATTCCCAATTCATCCAGAAAGTCGTGACCAAGGATAATGTCATGAGGACAATTAGGTGTGTCAAACACTGTCACAGTTTTACCGTAGATTTGCCGATGTCGGTCAAATTCTGGAAATAGTCCATCTCAAAGCTTCACAGTTTTGTTAACATTGAATTTTTCCAGATACAATTGCACAAGATTTAGCAGTAGTATTAACTTTTACCATTGCGCCTTGGGGAATACTTCGTGCATGAATCATTGTAGTTTGGTTTCGCAGAATGTTTTCCGCCAATGTTTCCCCATTGCATCAAAGAAATAGGTGTCGATTTCTTTTTGTTCATCAATTCAGCCATAGATTCCAAGGTTTGTTTTGGAGTTGGCACACAAATGAGAGAGTCATTCAAAACAATTTTTTTTTCTTCTTGTGTCATTGGACCGTGATCAGGGGTCGATGCTGTAGCAAAAGATGAAAGATTAGATTGGAGGAAAGGATCGATTAAACGGTTAGACTGCAACAAGTATTGCTTTGGAGCAAAGGTCAGTAACCTTCATAGGAATAGTGCTCAACATCATCGTAAGGATAATAGCCTTGATCATCTTGTGGAGGATACGATTTGTTTGGAGGATACAATTCTTCAGGAGGAGGGTACATTTCATTTTGTTCATGCGATTGAACAAATTGGCCTTGGACAAAGTATTGATCATTTTGTTCTGGCTGATCTTCAGCATGCTGCTCCACAGCAGAAGGCATTCCGCCTTAAGGCATTCCGCCTGGGTCCTCTACTGGGACAGTTCCATCCGGAACAAAGCATCCCACTTCTTGATTGAAATGCGATTTAGCATAATGATGATTTTGAAAACCGCTTCGCTGAGAGTTTCCTGGAGGTCTGTTGTTCGGAGTTTGATTTCCAAAACAACGCAGGTTTTGGTTGTTGCCACTTGGTCTTCCTTGATAATTGTTTGTAGGTCTTGGTGGATAACAATTTCCATCATTCTGCTGTCCTTGATTCTGGTAGCTAGGATAAGGCTGACTAGGGCCAAGTTGTCGATTGCCATAGCAAGAGTTTCCATAGCAAAAGCTTCCATTTGCTTGACCGCCATGATTAGAAGAACGATGGTTGTAAGATCCAGTGCAAGAGCAATGATGGCTTGCACGTCCAGTTTGTTCACAGATTCGTTCCTTTGCAGCATGGGTGTTTTCCATGAGGATCTTAGTAGCTTGAAAGTATTCTTCCATTATTGCCACTGTGATGGAAGGATCTTCAATCAATCCTTTTTGTTGACAAAGTAGATCTTGCAATTGCTTGGGAATTGTAGATGATCGTCTTTTTTGCCAGTACAGAAATATTGTCAGGTTCATCCAGCTTTTGAGATGTTCCTGGAAGCATGTCGTGATAAAAACATAGAAGTTTGAGTTGCCAAACGTGTTCAGAAACATCAGTTTTCATAGTCTTTTTGACTGCCGGAGATTTGTTCCTTGGAGAGTTGCCAGGTGACATCCTGGTAATAAAAGAGTGTCAACGGAATTCTTGAATTGCGCGACCAAATTACTTGGTTGTTCAATATGATTTGCCACTCATGGAGGGCATTGCCGCCAAGATGTTGTTCAAAGAGAGTGAACTTGAGAGCACCAACAGCTTGAGTATTGCCTGTGAGACTCCAATGTTTGCAGAGGTTCTTGAAGGAGAGATGGTGGGATATGACGAAACTGAGTTTTTACGTTCCAAAAAGAAACTATTCAAGTACAAAGTTTTTGACACGTACGATCGGACTTTGATTGTGATGTCGGGATTTGCCGGACTCAAGTCTGTCGGACATTCTATATCCACAGAAAAAGGGAATGACCCTATACAAGTGGGATATTGATGCTGTGTACAATGTAGTAGGGAATAATACAAGATGTCCCAAAGTACTGCAGTCAACACAGAATCCTCGTAGAAGTCAAATCAAGTTCTGTAAACAACGGATCTTTGGAAAATCGTTCAACTCACTTTTGAGATTGAATGTTAGAATAATGCAAAATGTACTCTATCGTGAGTGCCTTTAGCGCTCAGAACAAACTCTCTGCAATCTAAATTTGTAATCAACTATACAACCCTTTCACAACAATAGTTCAGCAAAGCACAAGATATGTTGAAGATTCACATGGATGTGATTAAAGATCAGGGAGTATAGGAAAAAGAAAATCAGAAACGAAACAACACGCAAACACACAGAACCAGCGAATCTGCTCCGCGTAGCGCTGGTACTGATTATACGTAGAATTTATCAACAAACAAACAGCAAAACACTGGCAAAACATGGGCAAATCTCCAGCTTTGAAGGCTGCCTCGGCTAATACAAAAAAGCTGGGCGTGGCTAAGTCCAAGGCTTCCTCTGTAGGAAAAAAAGCGATGAAAAAATGACTGGCAATTGACTTGGAACAGCCCAAAGACAGAGATCCTGTCAATTCCAATGATGTTGACATCAAGCAAATCGCCAATGATCAAGACGCTCTACAAACGGCCAACAAATTTGAGGCACAACGAATCGCCGAGCGAGAGTTTCGGTGTAGAGAGGACTACAATAAACTGGTTCCTAAATTATCTGAGTGACAGGCAACGCCTTATTTGCAGCCTGGGATGATCAATATCCAGGCGCTTGGAATCAACCTTGTTTGCGATTTGATGCCCTGTTCAACAACTATGCAGACACATTAACATGCAACGATTGATTTCTTCAGATTTTTACTTATCTCAACTATGACAATGCCCAACTGGCTCAATATCTCATCTCCTCTTTTGATCTCTACACAATCGAGGAGAAAGCAGCCAAAGACGTCGAGTCACTGCAAGTTCTTGCAATGCAAATTTCATTGCAGAACCCTTTCTCGTTCTTTGGTATTGACGAATTTGAGAAAAATCAGAACAACAATCAATTCTTTGACGGGGACAAGTCGGATCCTCGCCTTCGTCTGGAAAATCCGTTTGTTGGCTTTTGGTTGCTGATTTGTTCTGACATTAGAGAGTGGGTCATGTTGAATAGTGCCTGACAATCATGTAAGAAAAATTGATACAAAGGAAGCAAGATCAATACTTAAAAGAGAAGTGAGCTGAATGCATTCACAGCACAAATAGAAACTAGAGTATGGTATATGTAGCTCACCATTGCAAGACCAGTAGATTTTACTTTTTGGGAGATTCCAACAGATGTCAACCCGATCATGGCTGTAATTTTCAAAAGGCTTCAGGCTTGCAAATGGGAACGGACAGAATGTTGCATTGTTAGTATTCATCTTCATTTTCTCCAGCTTTGCATAGCCAGGTTTGCGACAGAAGTACCGTAAAAGAATCCGACTTCCACTTCTGAGAGAGAGCCAAACCAAATCCAGCACGATGCAAATATTAGATCGACAAGCAAATACCCTAGTTTAATTTTGTCCTCCGCTTGTGCACTATGATGCCGCCTGCATGTTCAGTCAAATTATGCATTGGACATCAAACAACTGTTGGAGGAACTTGGCCAGGAATGGCATCCCATACTTGCAAGAGAGGAAAGCATTCACAACTGTTTTCGTTAACAGTCTTGACGTACGGCAAGGACCTGATATAGTATTCGATGCACGTTGTTAATATGACGGTCTTATGCGAATGAAAAGCTTTCTTAATGAATAGAAAATCTTCAAGGTGGTTTGATTCAAAAACAATTGGATTATCTGGCGATACAAACAAGCTTCGCTTCACTGCAAAGCTGATTCCTACAGTGGAAGGCCATAAAGTACCATTTTTGACATTGGCATACGGTGGAACAAACTTTCCGCTTTTCCTATATCGCATTCTGAACACGATGACATCAGCGTTTGAATGCTGGTGAATAACATGCTGTAGTTTCTGGACATAATACGGTCCAAGAGTATCATCGTCGTCCACAAAGGCTACCCATTCTGTATCAACATATTGTCGTATAAGGAAATTTCTTACTCTGCCTGCTCCATTTTCATTTTGGCCGCGAACAGTCGATTGTGTGTCGATTGCTACGAACTTGAGTCTTGTGTCATCTTTTTCGGAAGACAGCAAGATGAAGTTGTCGTTTTCTTCCGTTCCAAACTTGTTTCGCAATTGCTCATCGACATCTCGCTGTGATTTGTACAGAGATGCAGTGATATCTACTCCAATAACAGCTCGCCATAAAGACACTGTCTGATTTTGGAGACTTGATATGGTGTCATGCAGAGAATTCCGACTCAGCCTGGAAGGAGTAACAAATGTCACGAGCTTATTTTGTTGTAACGGCAGATTTTCCTGGACCTCCAAATGGTCCGAGCTCCATGAGATACTTAGAAGCAGAGCCAAGAAAAGAGCAAATAGAGGACACCGGCTTTTCCATTTGGCTCTGGTCGAGGGCGACACTTGCACCATCAGAAGATCTTCAACCTTGAGCTCTTCACTCTTCCAATATGTAAGAGCATCTATAGATATCTCTTAACCCAACCTTCACAGAAGAGTCCCAGAGAAAATTGTGGATGTCTACGTACAGTCCAAATCAATTTTTGGAAACTCGCCGTAATTTGCGTAGAATCCAAGTTTTTGGTAGGAAGTGTCATGAATAATGCCTAGAAAAGTACCTTTAAATTTTACGCGCACCTTCGTAGCTGTTCGTAGAAATTGTACCAAATGGAAGAAATACAAAACTTCCATTTCCATTGTCAACCTCCTGGAGGCTCGTTGGCATCAACAAAACATTGTTGTGCAAGGATTTTTTGAATATTCTCGTTCATTATGCATTGAAGAAGCCCAAAATCGAAAAAATCCTTGCACAACGAAAGATCGCACCATTGAAATCGACCGAAAATGGCCGATGGATGTGATTGCGACACGATGGTGAGCTTTGACAGACTTGAAGTCCTCGTCCGCCCAGACGAAATGGATACAGTGCTAACGATATCTTTGTATCATTCCAATCTATCTTCTTTCTACGAAGTGATCTTAGCGCATTGGTTTCTTTGGTCTCCAAAATGCCCATGAAGCACACAAACATTTTCTTGACAGTAGTTTTCACAAGGTTTTTGGACTCTTCAGGAAGTGGAAAGGAAAAAGGCTTGAAAGAATCTGCGGAGATTGCTTCATTTGTTATCACAAAGGCCTTGCCACCATCTAATGGTTGCTATCATGGTCCGTGCAAAACAATTTTCAGCAGATTCCATCAAGTGGCAAAACTCGTCAAAAACAGATGAATTGCATGGCATGGGTCCCACAAGAAAAGAGAACTGAATCAGGAGCTATGGCAACCTCCTTGGATATATATATACTATACTCGGTCGGGGGGCTGTTCAATTTTTATATCGCCTCAATCACACTACAATCAACCATCGTTCGTCCACCTGGTGTTACAGGGCGGTCGTTTGGGTCCATAATGGGCTCCACATGGAAAGAAAGTCTTTATCCAAATGGTGGTAGGCTCTATTGATGTCTACACTATGTTGGGGCCTTGCTGGGTTGCTTCATGTTCTTTGGTTGCAGAGATTTTTGGATTTCCATTTTTTTTCTTTCGGTTTGCCATCGTTCGGCAGGTCCCAAAGGCCGCTCATGGCCGACATGGTAAGGGACAGCCACTCAACAATGCACCAGTCTCTTACATTGATCATTATGGTTCGAAGAGTATGCGACTTAGTCATTGATTCGGCCTGAATCAAGCGTACAGTGGCCTGAATGGGTCAGAATTAATGTAAGTTTTGCTCCAAAACCAGTATTTGTCGAATGGTGGGCCCAATTTACTTGCATTTCTTTATTCTAACATACACTCGTTCTCTATGGGTACATATAACAACGATAGGTTGGTTGAATTGGGGGTTTTCTAGGTACCGGTAGAAGTGATCAAACTGCATAAATTTGACCTGGATGCTGATCAATTGGGCCTATAGTCCAAAAGTTGTTCAGAATCTTTCCGAGGGCCCCGTGCCGGTACCAAGACAAGGTCGGACCGCCATCACAGTTGTTATTATACCTATAGGGATCAGTATTTGGCGATGGTATGGAGTGCTACGATGGAAAAGAGAACAACATTTTGACAAGGTCAGATGTCGTTGATCTGTCTCTCTCTGGGCGTCCCGCCTCTCACCACAGCTGATCTTGATCGGCTTCTACATGTGGGAGCAACAGAACTCTGTTCAACATTTGTATGATAACGTTCAACTACGTGAACGTCATAGCACTGTCAATGAGGGGATTCACTCACAGTTTGATATGGGTCCCAATGACTTGCCCAGGGAAATTGAACTGATCTAACAAGCTGCCAACGAGTTCTTTGCAAGTCATTGGCGGACAAGGATGAATGGCTGAAGCTGCTTTGTCAGGAGTGCAGAGACTTCCGTCGCTCCATGAAAGCACAACGCCGCAGTCTGTGGACTATTTTCTCCCCTGGACCCTGACCAACTTTTTTGGGGACCTTATGAGCCCCAAATTCACCCGCCACATCATGGGAGAAGTCTTTACCCTTTGGGATCCTTGGGCAACTTCTGTTCATACAGATGCCTCACATGGTTCAAACTTGTTGTTGACTCGCCGCTTCACAGTACTTGACCTTTACAGCCAAATACCCATAGAGTAGCATATTATCGAATAATTTCTCAGTTATTATTATACTGAGCTTGCCACAAAATGAGTATTACGTCTATACATGACTACATGAGGAGCAGAGATACTTTGTACCTCAAAGACTGTGCCAGGAAGTTTGGAAAGCTTTTAATTTTGATATTATGGAATTGAAAGCAGGTCCTTTTTATCCCTTGTAACACCCTGTGTTGAATTGATACGGAGGACTAGGGAAAGAGCAAAGCAAATCCTATCGGGATCTGTGTTCTTGCACAGATCTGGAGACAATCCAATTTGGCTCACAATCAGAATAAAATCCCAACTGGATAAGGGCTGGTCCAACACCTACCAACAAACTCCACCTTTTGATGCCACTCCTCCGCGCCAACAAGCGAGCATGTCTGATGCTGTTCAAGTCATCGCTGGCACCCCTACAGTAACACAGGAAGCCAGTGTTCCAGCTGACAATGTCAACATTCTGTGTGGGAGGACCAGTGAGGAAATGGAGCCGAGGAACACAATAGTGCCCCGACCTACAGGGACACTGTTGCCTCTCTCCCCGCCCCCACAATTCCTCTCACCACTGACAAACAATTGATGCGCCTTCTCGCTGTCCATTGGAATGCCTCTCCTCAACGTGTCTGTTGTCTTTGATTGGCAGGGCGTCGGTTTGTCCGAGTTCAATCAAGTCCGGACTGCCTACAATGCCTTCCATCAGTTTGCTTTTGGTATTTGGGGCAAGATCACTTCCAAGGTTGTCCTTCTACCCTTTGCTGACGGTCGATTCACCCGACAACAACTGTGGATCCGGAACTTGAAGGAGTTTGACGAAAAGGCCAAGGATTGGGCCAACCTGAAGATCTACTTTGATCCCAACATCGGCAACCCGTACATCCTCAACAAACCTGGGAAGACTGGGTCAAAGACCTGCAAGACTTGAATGCGGTTTGGGATGGACACTGCCCCTCCCATCCTCATGCAAGAACTTTGCTCCGTCCTGTCCAGTGAGCCTTGGGCGGGCGTCTTCCTGACTCCTATCCAGGTTTCCGACATGGTCCGGCTTGGCTTCCTCCCGTTGTTACCACAAGAATTGGCAATTAGTCTGTGCTGCAAAGACTTGATGCATCTCTGCAACTTCCAGTACCCCATTGGCCTCATGCAAGAGTGGGTCAACAATTCACAATATAATTTTTAGTCAGTACATGTCGTTGTTTTGTGCGTAGAACGGACAGTTTTTCAGAGAATGGATAGTTTTCCCATAATTCCAAAAAAAAAATTAGAGTTGTGGGAAACTTCCCACAACTACAATTAGAGATGTGGGAAACTTCAAACAATGGCAGGAGTGTGTTGGGATATGACATAAAATATGAGTTTTACATTCCAAAAAGAAACTATGCAAGTACAAAGGTTTTGACACGTACGATCGGACTTTGATCGTGATGTCCGAATTTGACGCAAGTATGCCAGACGCAAGTCTGTTGGACAATCTACATCCACAGAAAAAGGGAATGACCCTATACAAGTGAGATATCGGTGTTGTGTACAATGCAGTAGGGAATAAGACAAGATGTCTCAAAGTACTGCATTCAACACAGAATTGTCGTAGAGGTCAAATCAAGTTCTGTAAACAAGGGATTTTCCAAGCGAAAATCGTTGAACTTACTTTTGTGATTGAATCATCAATTCAAGCCAAACATTAATCAAATAGGAACAATTTCACTCAAAGTATACCTAACACAGGAGCACTATTGTTGTGAAAGTGTTGTATAGTCAATTACAAATTTAGATTGCAGAGAGTTTGTTCTGAGCACTAAAGGCACTCACGATAGAGCACATTTTGCTTTATTCTAACAATCTTGATTACATTTTGCTTTATTCTAACATCCAATCACAAATCACAAAAGGCAACAAAACAAAAATACATCAAGAACAGCACTGCCTTATCTGCAAAGGAGTGAGTGATTCGTTGACAATGGTTATCATCCGGTGGTGGAAGAGGACGTGTGACTCCTCAGAAAGTCATTTTCAACAAAAGATGAAAGCAATGGAACGGCAAGATTGTCGTAGAAAGACGCCGAAGAAAGAGTGATTGACTACATTGAAGCTTTTGGAATGAAATGCTCTGAAGACATGGTGAAATTGATTTGCGATGGAAAGTTGATCAACTTCAATGCAATCGCTCCAAAATTGAATGCTCCAACTCAAACTGAAGCTGTTGCAAGAGAAACAGAGATGGCCCAAAACAAGATTCTCTATTATACAAAGCTCAACAAGAACATGCAAAGATCAGCCTACTTTGAAACAAACAAGCAAACTGCTAAGTCAAACATCATGCTTTAAGTTTGTGACAAAGACGATGGATATCAAGCTTTGAGGTGAAGCCAAATTCATGACTACTCTTGAAGATCCAATCAAACTCTTGTAACATATTGAACAATTCATGAAGAAGAGTGCTGATGCTGAGTATGACTTCTTGGATTTCTGGGAAGCCAATCAAAAGTTTTTTGCCATGAAGCAAGGAACAGCCAAAAACATGATGCATTTCAAGGAACAATTCTTGAGACAGGCTGAAGTCCTGCAAGATCTATATGGCACTGCCTGGTTCCGAAATTTTGCAGGCAAGACAAATGCGTATGCTGCTACTGCTAGCACCAATACTGCTGCTAAAGACAAGTTCAAGGATGATATCTTTGAAGCCGTTCTTGCAACAGGATTCCTATGCAACTGCGATCAAACAAGAACAGCTCCTCTGATGCTGGATCTCCAGACAAACTATTGCAGGGAAGTGGATTGTTATCCAAAGATGGTCAGCAAAGCACAAGATATGTTGAAGATTCACATGGATGTGATTAGAAAACCGGGAGTGAACCTGTACCAAGGAAAAGACCAACCTAATAAAGGGAAAGGGAAAGGGAAACAGAAGGATGGAAAGAAGGAGGCAGCATGTTATGTATGTGGCAACAAAGACCATATGCCCAGACAGACTGCTACCAAAGATCCAATGGAAGAATCAGGATCAATATGTTGACTATGGGAAGAAGCTCAATCTTAATCAGATTGGAGCATCTGTCCCAGCTACTGTTCCAGCTATAGTTCCTGGAGCTTCAGCATTCACAAGTGGAGCATCAAGTGTTGCGGGAAGCGTGAACACACCTTTGCAACTTGCTGGTACTACAGGTAATCAAATGATGCAAGTTCCTTTGGGAATGCAGCTCATGCAGATTCCAACTCAAGGTGGCGGCACTGTGACTGTCCTATACTCAATTAATGCTAATGGTGGGATTGCGTTCAGTGGAATACAACTTGGCCATCAAGGATTCAGTGGTGCTCAAGTGCGCCAAGGATTCAATGCAACTTGTGAAGACTGGCTATTACGATACGTTGAATGTCTTCCGCGATGCTATCAAGGGAAAGGATGAGAAAGGCAATAATGTCTATCTTATCCCATGTCCTGCTGGCATAACAAATGTCAAACTTCAAGCCAACTGGCACTATGCTAGTGAAGATGAAGATTTGCCTGATCTTGCTACCAAAGCAGATGGAGGTCTGCAGTTTATTCAAAGCCACAGAAGAGAAAGAGATCCATTTGGATTGTGAGATCACGCCATCATGGACAGTGGTTGCACAAACACCACCATTTGGAATGGTGAGCTCATGCATGGACTCCGTCATGCTGAGAAGGAGCTTGATATGCACACTAACATGGGCAGCAGAGTTCTTGACGAAGAAGGTTTTCTAGGAAGATTTCCCCCTCCAGTCTCTTATGATGAAGACGGAATTGCCAATGTACTTGCTATGTGCGAGATGATTACTGCAGGATACCGCAATACTATGGATACTGATGTTGACAATGCCTTTGTTGTGCATTGTGATGGAGATAGTGAGATGCAATTTGTTAATCGGAAGGGTGTGTATGTGTTGGAGCAACTTCGTGCAAATGTTGAACCAGATGCCAAGGAGACAAGTGCAATGTACCGTCGCCAGTTACGCAACTTTAAAAATCAACCCCGTTTCAAACTTTCTTCAAACAAACAGAATGGATATGCTGGACTCCAAATGACCTCAAAGATGGCAACTGTTCAAAAGAACAAGGAAGGATTCATTCCAGTGATGGAAGCAAGAAGTGTAATGCACATACTCAATGCTCCAAGCACCAAAAGTCTGAAGTATGCAATCCGTTCTGGTCTCATCAAGAACTGTCCTATCACTGAAGAAGCGATCAATCATGCCAAAGCAATCTTTGGACCTGACGCATCTACATTGAAAGGCAAGTCTACAAGACCAACTCCAAAGGAGACACACGATGACTTCTTCAGTCCACCAGAGGAATTGTATCAAAATAATCGATCAATTACTGTTTGTATTGATCACATGGAGATCGGAGATGCTAAGTTTCTCACCTGCATTGATACCACTGTGTATTATTGCTCATGTATTCCCGTGCAGAACCTGAAGACTGACCCTGTATTTGAAGCATTGGATAAGATATTCCGCTGCTACAACAAGGCAGGCTTTCAAGTCCAGACAATCAAGTGTGATTGGGCATTCATTCCTCTAACGGATGATATGCTAGACAATATGGGTGTTACTATTGACCCAACTGCAGCTGGAGACAACAAGCCTACAGCTGAGCAAAACAACAGGACGCTGATAGTAATAACCGGGACATTAATTGTTAATATGCTACCCTGTGGGCATTCAATTGCCGGTGAATTATGCGGCTGTAAGGTCAAGTACTGTGAAGCGGTGAGTCAACAACAAGTTTGGACCATGTGAGGCATGTGTATCAAGAACAGAAGTTGCTCAAGTCTACCAAAAGGGTAAGGACTTCTCCGGCAACGTGGCGGGGTGAATTCGAGGCTTGTGAGGTCCCGGGAAAAGTTGGTCAGGGTCCAGGGGAGAAAATAGTCCGCAGACTGCGGCATTGTGCTTTCATGGAGCGACAGAAGTCTCTGCGTTCCTGACAAAGCAACTTAAGCCACTCTCCCTTGTCCACCAATGACTTGCAAAGGACTTGTCGACGGCTTGTTAGCATCAGTTGAATTTCCCTAGGCAAGGCATCGGGACCCATATCAAACTGTGAGTGATTGCTATGACGTTCAAGTAGTTGAACATTGTCATCCAAATGTTGAACAGAGTTCCGTTGCTCCCACATGTAGAAGCCAATCAAGATCAGCTTGACAACATCTGATCTTGTCATAATGTTGTTGTTGGAGCGGTAGCCAAGACAAGGCTATGCGTCCCTACAAAAGGCCTTGAGACCCAATCACCTGTTGAGCCAGGAAGGCCAGCCGAACCGAAGGAGGGATGGTTCGTAAAGAGGGGGAAGTAGGTGCGCGGATGCCATGAAGAAGCTGTAGGATCGCTTTTTTGATGGAAGGGCCCGTCAATTGCAGATCAAGCGACGGTCCCATTTGGCAGTTGCCAAAGCAGCACAACAACGGGGAACATGGAGATGGTCCTCAAAGGCGCCACAGCGTGGACAACCTGCCGATGTCTCCAAACCCCATAGGACTTTAAATTTACCTGTAGACCACCTGTGTAGTCCTGCAGGAAGAGATTGCATGGTGCGACCCAGTGTGTCCCAGACGATCTCAGACTTGGCTCTGTATACCACCTTTGTAGTCCTGCAGGAAGAGATTGCATGGTGAGACCCAGTGTGTCCCAGGCAATCTCAGACTTGGCTGCGGCGGAGATAGTACCTTTGTCCCTCCAGCATAAGCAAAGGGCGGGAAGGGTCACACACTCTTGGATAAACTGAGGATCAAGATGTGACTGTTTGACGTCTGCCACGTAAAGCGCCGCAAATTCAGTGAAGGATCGAGGATTGGGGGCTATGAGATGATTTTCCATCGACTTCAAGATTCCTTTTCTCCAACCAAGACAATTTGTCAAATAGATTAGACTTGTCGAGATGGCCATACACGGGCTGGGACGACCAATTGACAGAGGACCGGAGGATAGCTTCCCAAATGGATGACAAGTAGGAGAAAGTGGGCAATCTTTCGAAAGCCATCTCAGTGGCAGAGAGACCGTCACAAGCAATCCGCACCCTGGGACATGTCAACAGATTTGGAGCCCATTGCTGGAGGAGCCAATCAATTGCCATGATACCGGCCATCAGACCGATGAGTTCACTGCGGTATGGGCTCTGATCCTGGGGCAAACCCGGGGTCTGATACCGGATGGTGATCCGGTCTGACCCTCCATGCTTCACCAGGAGTTGAACCGCCGCGGTCCCCAACTCATCCTTGAAGGATCCATCACTGATCACGCAAAGGCGACCTTTCAACAGGGCAGCAACTAAGATAGCTTCGTCGCCGTGAATCTCGATCTTGTCTGGAACCCACCCATAGTAGTCCGTGTAAAGCTCTGCAGCCGTTTGCCAAGCTTGAAGGATGGATGGGCTGGTGTTAGGGACCGTTTCTGAGAAACAACCAGCACCTGTGAGAAGAACGCTGTCAGACCCAGTAATGGGACGGACCATAGCACAAAGAACATCAGTGGGGAGAGGGGCAGTCCACCATGGACTGGAGGAATGTGAAGGCAATGGTGCAAAGCGACGTGACGTGACGGAGGAACCCTCAGGAGAAAAATGTTTTCCAGGTTGCCCCAAGCCGGTGGAAGAGGCCTGTAGTTGGTGACAGCAACCAATTCCAGTCCGCCAGAGGATCAGTCCAGGGACCCAATGGCTGTCGTAGTGGGTAATGTGGCCCATTGGAGGCAAGCAGGGCTCGGGATAAAGTGGTCTGCCACAAGTCCCAGTGTTGGCGGGTTGGGCAAATGGTCCTTGGCCATTGGTATGGCGAGCAGCAGCACTAATCCCTGATTCCATTCCAAGCGGCATGTCAAATAAACCTGCAATCAGCAGTGACAATGTGGGACACTGTGCATACCTGGAGGAACATTTGACACCAATTGAGCCAGAGGAGTTCATCTTGGTCAACCTCCAGGTTGAGGAAGAGATCCACCAGAAGGGAGTCGTCCTTAGAGCGATGTGACAAGGCTGGGGAGTTGTAAGCAACATAGATGTCCAGACCCTCAAGTTCATGCCACACTCGTTTCATTCATGTGTTGGAAGCTAAGGTGGCTGTGTTGTTGTAGACTTGTTGAAAATTCCAAAAGATGTCCCCGTTTCCAGTTGATGGGCTTGGAAGTTGGCCTCCATGTAGTCACCACTTTTGGTCTTATTGGCCATATGTCGGAGCAAACACAACAGCCCAAGGGAAATTGTGACAGACACCGGCCTTTGGCAGGCACACCTGAAGTACCGTAGACACAATTTCTGTCCATTGCTGGGCATCCAATGTGGTTAGTGCCATGGGGTACTCCAATTTCTTCATGATGGTCGACTTGATGAGGGGAAGGACGTCATATTTGTGAAGAAAGTTGGGCCGAAGTTGTTCTGCCCAATCCTTGGCTTTAGCAAGCAGCTGATCCTTGTGAGCCTTAAACAAGGCTGGGGACTCGCAAGCGACATAGATGTCCAGACCCTCAAGTCCATGACACACTCGATTTCATCCACATGTCGAAAGCCAAGATGGCCGTTTTGTTGTAGACTTGTTGCAAGATTCCAAAGGATGTCCCCGTTTCTAGTTGATGGGCTTGGAAGTTGGCCTCCATGTAGTCCCCAGTTTTGGTCCTGTTGGCCATGTGTCGGAGCGAGATCTTGAGATGCTTAAACACTTGACACCCAAACGGATGTGGGAGTCCAAGACCCTGATAGGACAGCGGAGCAAACACAACAGCCCAACGGAAATTGCGGCAGACGCCGGCCTTTGGCAGGCACACCTGAAGTACCGTAGACAAAATTTCTGTCCATTGCTGGGCATCCAAGGTGGTTAGTGCCATGGGGTACTCCAATTTCTTCATGATGGCAAACTTGATGAGGGGAAGGAGGTTATATTTGTGAAGAAGGTTGGGCCGAACCATCAAAAGGACTTCTTGGGGTTGATCGCGCCTCCAGTAGCTCGGATTCTCCCAAGCACACAGGGTAGCGGCGTCCTGCACCGATGCACATATAGCTTCACCCGAGTGATGGACTGTATTGCCAGCCTCAATGACGTCAGTGTTGTTGACAAAGCAGAAGCATTGGCCTGTGACCAATTGTGACTCCAGTGCTGAGAGGCACTCAAAGCCGTAACCCATCGCAAATCCTGCTGCCAAGGGAATATTGTGAAAAAGAGCATTACAGTAGTCAATAAATGGTGACTGGGCAGCTGCCTTGAAGTGTCTGTTGTGTAACCCATGGGGTTCAGAGCCCTTGTCCTCTGGATTCCGGGACCAGAAGTACAGGTGATTGGAGGTCGTAACCTCAAGGTGTACAGGTGAATGATCCTTGTGAAATTGGCAATGGGAAAGAAAGGCTGTAGTAGCAGGGTCAAGCAGATTGGGCAGGGAGTAACGGCCTTCCAAGACTGCTCATGGAGGCACTTATATTTGCGTGCTAACAAAGGTGGCATCTGGCATTCATTGTTTTCAATGCGCTGATTTAGCGTGGTAAGGCGGGAAGGGATGTCGTACTCCTCGTAACCTGACTGAACCAGTTGAAGATATCAACTAACCGACCGCTTATCCCAAAGGGTTAGATTGCGAGGTTGGAAGGTAGACCTCCCCCATTGCCTACTCCTGCACTGAAGTCTACACCCCAATCAGCAACCAACCCTCCTACGGAGTCTCCAGCTCGGGCAAAACTTTCTGCATCTGAACAGTGGGGGTGCCCCCCCCCCCTGGCGGTGGTCCCTAACCACCGACGGTCCCGTCACGCAAGGTTGCGGCGTTTGACGGTAGGCCAAGGTCGAAGTCTACACAACCAAAACACATCCAGCCAGCTGGCCCACTCCTCGCTGGATGCTTAATTAAACCCTCTCCCTCCCAGTATCTACTTAGGTGATGACTCATGCCAGAAGTCTCCTTGCATTACTCGGGTCCTTTTTCAAAATGTTCAGGGGCGTCCATTTCCCATGACACATGAGAAACAGAAAGGGCTCTTCAAGTGTTGGACGGACCAGAGAGTGGGCATTGCTTTGCTGGCTGAAATTAACCTTCAATGGTCAGCAATGCCAAGAGGACACAAGTGGTTTGATCTGGTTAAGTTCTTCACTAATCAGGGTCAGTGTCTTTCATCAGGAGTTTCCAACTCCGCATCAATGGTGCGGATGTTCTGCTACATCACTCAACAAGGTCGCACGCCATGCAAATCAGGCGGCAAAGATGAGACAGGGCTAGGCAGGTTCTCTTGGATCAAGATCTGGAGTAGGGGCATCCGACAACAGGATGGTCCTTTAGATCTTGTGGTGGTCTCTGCATATTGTCCAAACAAGGAAGGTACCAATGTGGGTAGTGTTTGGAACTACCAACGGAATTACTGGCTGAGCAACGGGGTGACTATGGATCCCTGTGACAAGATTACACTCGATCTGGTGGATCTGATCAAACAATTGAAAGCGGAAGGATGTGAGGATGTCTCCAACAACTCTCCCTTTTCCTGCCGCCAAGAGATGTGGTCTGAAGGTCTGACCAAGGCCATTTTACGCCAACATCAGGGCCCTTACCCAGCAACAACCCAAAGTCGGACAATGGATACTCCCATTGATGGTATATTTGTGACCGACGGCGTCCGTGTAATGGCAGGTGGATACTTGGACTTTCAGCAGTATTTTAAGTCGGACCACAGGGGACTCTGGATTGACATTGACCTGGAAGCGACTCTGGGGGCTCCACCGGTGACCTCTCCTTCGTTCCAACCAGGTCGGTTGACACTGGCTGATGGTCGGTCGGTGGACCGCTATATTAAGGCTGCGGAAGCGGGCTACCGGCATTTCCGCCTTTCCCAACGCTTGACTCAATTATCTGAGGATATTTTGGTCCAGGACGGCTACCTTACGGCGAATCAACAAGCTCGATTCAACACCATTCATCGCCAGGCCTATGAAATCCGCCGACGGGCTGAGCGCAACTGCCGGAAACTGGTAAGGTGCACTGGTCACCACAAATGCAGCAGAAATGGGATAGGTTGCACCTTTACCAGCGCCTGATCTTGGACCATAAACAGGTCAGGACTAGTTCACGGAAGGTATGGCGTTTGTTGAAGAAGAACGGGCTGAGTGATGCATGGAAATTATCAGAAGCTGACCTAGAGGCAAAGTGGTACCTTGAACATCAAGACTACACAGAGGTCAAGCAGAAGCGTGCCCATCAGTGGCGCCTGGAATATCTGGAGAACGAATCAGCAGCGGACCAGAAAGCAAAGAAGAGCAACATCAAAGCTCGTACCAGACGGACTTGAGTCCAGCAGATGGCAAAAAAAGAGGAGACCCAGCGATGACGGATAGCTCAAGGCAAAGGCTCCTCCAGCAGACCAAAATGGCCCACGTGGCACAGGATGGTACCTCCCATCGGGTAACATGCCAGTGTAAACGTCTTGTGGAAGAAGGCTGCATGCAAGAGAACCGGCTCAGGTATGACCAGACCCGCTACCCCTACTCCACTCCACCAATGACTGAACCTTTGTACTCCAACTTCAATGGCCCCAACGCCGAAAGGAACAGCCAAGTACTGCTCCGCGGTCTCTATAAAGCCAAGACGCAGGATCCTTACCTGGTGTCATTCCTGGACCATTGCCAAAGGCCGGAGGGCTTGGAAGAGCAACCACTGGAAGTGGATCTGGAGGATCATGTTAGCTTCTGGCGTAAGATGGGGGAACACAAAGGTTTGGAGCCACACGGCTTGCATAATGGTCAAGTAGCATCCAACTTGCTCGGCCTGCGGCTACACAATCTTTTGTTCCATCCCTTTTGCTACAGGATTTGTCCCAGCCCAGTGGTGCCACTTGCTCAACTTTGCAATTGAGAAGAAACCAGGAGAGATTTGGGTGGACCTCATGCGCACAATTCAAATGATGAATTCAGAGCTGCAGGCCAACAACAAGAGAGTGGGGAAATTGGCCATGGCCTATGCAGAGCAGCACAACCTGATCCCAAAGGGACAACACGGGTCTTGCAAGCGTCACCAGGCCATCGATCTGGCCCTTACGAAGTGTCTCACTTGGGACGTCTTGCATCTCCAATGCCGCCTTGCTGGGTGGATCTCCAAAGATGCCAAGTCCTGCTTTGACCGGATTTTCCACTGGGTGGCAATCATTAGACTCATGCGCTTTGGGATTCAATGGCGTACCCTTTGCTCCATGTTTGATACACTGATGTAGTCTAAGCACCAGGGTGCGTACGGGGTGTGGCGATTCTGACCGTGTCTTTATTCCTCCCACCATGATCCCATTCCAAGGATGTGGACAAGGCAATGAGACAGGACCTCCTATCTGGGTTGCCATTAGCTCCATTCGCTTGGGGATGATGATTAGAAAAGGCTTTGGCTTTGACTTTCTGATCTCAATATCTTGGGCTCCGCTCTTGGCCGATTGCTTATGCTTTGTCGATGACACTGATGTCTGCCAAGCGGCACCGTCTCCTGACTAGTCTGGGGAATCTATCGTCCCAGAGGTGGCCAAAGCACTGAAATGGTGGTCAAACGGCGTCCGCCTTACTGGTGGCGCCATCTGACCAGATAAATCCTTTTGGTATCTGATGGACTTCAAGTGGAATGCCCAACAAGGAGTATGGAAATTCCGGCAGAAGGGGGATTTCAAACCATCTCTTCTTCCAATAGTCTTGGCGGAAATTGTGGTTGAACTGAATGATCTGGATGGCACCCCAGTGCATCTACAGCGGTTGGAACCGGACAAATTGGCAAAGACTTTGGGTATCCTGATGCCCCCCTGCTCAAACAGGAAAGCACAACTTGTGGTGATGCAGGGGAAAGCAAAAGTATGGGCGGATCAGATCCAACCTAGCTTCCTCCAGCGATACCATGTCCTTTGCACCACAATCCAGAAGACTTTGGAGTACCCCATGGCGCTCACCTTCTTCTCTCAGCAGGAGTGGGACCAGATACTATCCCCAGTGCTCAGGGCGGCACTTCCAAATGCCGCAACTTTCCTTGTGCTATGGTATCTGCCCCCATTGCACTCCAAGGTGTTGGTGTCCCTCATCCATATGATCTCCAAGTCATCAAGCACGTGGACATGCTACTTCGCCACCCTGCCAATAAGACCAAGACGGGTGGCTTCTTGGAGGCAGTCCTCCAGGCACATCAGCTTGAGACCGGTACCTCCTACGGCCTCTTCCAACAAGTCTATACCAACACCTCCATCCTGGCGTCTGACAAATGGGCAAAGCGGACCTGGAGTGAACTCAACTCTTTCTTTCCATCCACCTGGAGTTTGATTCCCCCTCTCTTCAGCCACTACGCCATGCAGACCAACTGTTAGTTGACTTGTTTATCGATTCTTTGGTGGACCAACTTACTCTGAAATGGCTCAACTGGTGTCGGATCTTCCAGCATGCAGTCACTCTCTCTGATATTGTGAATGCTGAAGGGACAGCAATTACTTTGCAGACATGGAAAGGGATAGGAGCGGACAGCTGTTCTGACCGGTACCAATGGCCCCGTACTGCTTGTCTGCCGTCTATCCAATGGTGGACCGCATGGCAGCAATGGATTTCTACTCACCTGACTGGAGGCCTGTGGCATTCCGTCGACTTGTCCTGGAAGTGGCAATACTCCCCCTCTACCAATACCCTGTTCCACCGTGAGGGTCAACTATGGATTTCTTCCGTCCCTCTCGCCTCCACCAGCCGTCAGCGCACCTTCTACTTGCCTCACCGCTTCAACCCTGATCTCCCACCTCTACCAGTGGACAATGTCCGCGCCTCGGTCTCTGTCCTCCCTAGCCGGTCTCCAATCCACAGAGCCGGGTCCTCCTCCACTCTACGGGCCCTCACTTACCAGCTGGGTTCCAGAGGTCGTTACTATTGAAGGTAGTGAGGACCGCCAGGTTCAGGCCCTTCTTGCCAGTACCGTTTCTGCTGTGAGCGACGGCTCTTACAAAGCTAAACTGGACACAGCATGCGCTCAAGTCCTCACTGAGGACCTGCCAAACACCTGGGAAATTTGAGGCGAATTGATTGGCCTTATGGCTTCTCTCCTGGTGTTGGAATGGATGCTTCAGGTTGCCCAACTGAAACTCTTTTCCAGCCAACCTTTGGTCAAGATGGCCTGCAACGGGCTCATTGCTCTTGATATGTCCTTCTCTGAAGTGCACCTGTCATTGTCTGGTGCTCAGTTTGATCTGGCCTCCACCATCCGGGCCTTGCTTTGCCACCTTCCCCTCCAAGTTCATCAGCACCATGTTAAAGGCCACCTCCTGGACAAGCACCGGCCTTTCTCCCAACTGGACTGGTGGGAGCAGCGCAATGTAGAAGTGGACTTCAAAGCACAATCCTAACGCCGCCTGCTGGAGTCTACAGGCCGTTCTGCCGCCTCCAACCCCCGCTTCTTCCATGAACCTGTGTCTTTATTCATTGATGGAGTTAAGTTGTCCCAACTGGATCAGGCTCACATCATGGAGCTAGTCTCTCTCCCTGCCCTTTGTCTCTTGCAGGCGCCATGAAGGCCCTCTCAGCAAATCTCCAACGCTGGACACCCAAGCATATCTCCGGTATGACAGGTGTGGGATAATTTTTGGCCATTCGGTACCGTTCCGCAAAGAGCTCTTGCCCCAGATGCTCCTCCTGCCCCTTGGACGATGACCTCCATGTCCCCTGCTATTCTGCCCCTACTGCAGCTGCAGAATGGTCAAAACGTCATCTGGCCCTCCGGACCTGGAGGCAGACTCAGCAGACTGCCCCAGAGATCGAAGCCTTCCTCTTTGAATATCTGAAGACAGTCCATCAGCCTTCCTTGGGCGTACCCACCGTCCAAGCCTGGTCCCACCATCCCCACCTCTTCCAAAGTGCCATCTCCTCCCAAGCCAAGCTTGGAGCCCAGGGCCTCCTTGAAGGCCTAGTGTCCCCCAACTGGAGACACCTGCAGGCCCTTCACTTCTCCTCTATTGGCTCCAAGAAGTCCGCCAACCTTCAACAACTGATCCGGATCGGGCACTACATGTGGAAAGACCACAACCGGCTTGCCCACTCTGAAGACAGCTCCTGGTACACGGCCTGCAAGCGGGAGATTGACATCGGCATCTGCAAACAGTTTGCCATGGGCCTGATTGATATCCCCCCACACTTGCAGTACCTCTTTTGTGACTCCCGCAAAACTGTCCTCAACAAATCACTCAAAGATTGTCAACATTGGCTGTGCCTTGTCTCCGATGAGAGAGCGATCAACTGTTGCTCTCTAGTCAGGCAACGTCAGATGATCTTTCACCTGGCCCAACCCGCCAACCCAACATCGACTTGGCCACCCGGCGCAAGTCCATAAACAGACAGATACCTCGGCCATCTATCTGCCCCCTCTATGTTTCACTCTCCCTCTGTCAATCACAGGACTAGGGACCTGCAGTCTGTCATGTAGATGGTGGCCACATTGTTCTGGAACACTGTGCCACTGGGACACTCTCCATTCACTTGGATCAATACACCCATGGCAGTAGGGCACAAGAACCATTGGCTTCTCACCTGGTGCTACACAATCATGCCCACCGCCACTTTCAAAAACCTCAAAAACAAAGTAAAAATACGCCGTCTCGAGTGGCAAGATCGTTCTACATGTGCAAGGGTGCAATGTAATATGCGATAGAGCAACTTCCCTGGGATTGGATGCCTCAAGCTGGTTCAACAGTACTCAACTCACCTCCGTATGGTAAATGGCCATGACAGCTGTTAACTGCAATCTAGAAACTTGAGATAGTTTTAATACAATTAATGCATCAGTTATATATAAAATGCTACACAAAAGGAGTTTGACAAGAATTACAATCCAAGTAAATTGGATCCAAAGATGGAAGGTCCCTATCAATTACTCGTGTGTTTACTAACGGAACTGTTGAAGTTTGCAGGAGTCCTCAAATCTCTCTCAATATACAGCACCTTGTGCTGTTTTGTCAAGTCTAGCAAGCAATGAGTTTGAATTTGCCTGTTGTGTCAAGAACCACCTCTCCTATGAACTGTGGATCTAAGGGTGCCTTTGTGACTACACTTTGGTACAGAATGATATGATAATACTATGATCCTACAACAAGTTTTGATCATAGAGGGGAAGAGTAGAACGGCCCATAGAACAGGCCAAAGGTATTGGGACTGTAGAAGCTCCTTTGGTTGGGTATAGAACTAGATCTTAGTCAAAAGGTCCACATAAGCACTTTGAAGTGCCTCTCTATACAGGATTTCACATCTCCAACTTCTTTGACTACTAAATAGTTTTCAATACACCCCTGGGCCGGGGCATTGTTGTAGCAAAAGATTTTTTGATTGGTTTCATGTTGCAGTGACGTGTTTCAAAATTGTTTGATCGGTTTTGTGTTGCAGTGACTTGTTTCAATTTCTTCGATCGGTTTCAAAATCATTTGATCGGTTTTGTGTTGCAGTGCTTGTTTTGATTTCTTTGATCACCCGTCATGGGGGGTTGGGATTCCCTGTATGCAGCCAATCAGAATGCAGTTGGGGCAGAAACAATTAAGAGCATGATAACGGGTTTAACGCGATTACAAACGGCTTTAACGCTATTTGGAACTGTAATTTTTGAAGTAAAATATTTTTTTGGATCTTGCCAAAGTGTCGTCACACAAATATTTTGAAGGCATCACGAATCACAAGACTATGATTTGGGCTGTATCAGATGATGTTTTAAATAGATATGCACTAGTAGTTAGTAGTATGTATTAACTTTGTTTTCTCCTTATCTCTCCCTTGTCAGCCAAGTGTATGGCCCAAGGTTCTGCTGCATTGAAGGATTTGCTACGGGCGAAGGGATATGGGTTCCTTGAAAGTAGGGAGGAAAAGGATGTTTGTAGAAAGCTTGACAAAAATGCTGCTGGTAGGCCAAATGTCGTTTGTAGGCCGGGTCTAATTGTATCATTGTACATTGCTGGTGGTAGCAAGCTTGATGGGGCGATGTTGTCCTACCTGCTGATTGTGCTGGCACAAGAAAGTAGTGTTGGGGTGGCAATTGCATCTGTGGTGCTATCATGATAGTGGGATGGGGTGCAAGATTTGTCACATTGATCCTGTTCTTCTTTTCCTTCTTGGCAAAAGTCAGCGCCCCTGCTAAAGAAGAAATGTTCCCAGCTTGAGAGGTTTGAATAGATCCAACTCTTCTCTTGGCATATGGGGTTTTTAATTTGCTGCAGTCTTTGCATTTGCATCTTTTCCTTTTTTCATCATAAAGAACTCCACTGCTCTCTCTGGCAAGTTGTTGTGTCAAGTATTCAGAAAAGAATCTCTCTCCGTTGTGGGCTGGTAGCTCTTCTACTCCATTGTGGACATTGCCAATGATTCCAGCCTCTTTGGCCAAGTTGTTGATAAATGCAAGTCGAAGGTGGATGGTATAATGTGGTGCCCTGTGAAAAGCTGTAGGAATCTTCTTTTGCAACTTTGGATCAAGGGATCCAATATGAAGGTGGTACCGTATTCGCAAATTGTACAAGGCAATTCCAGCCGATGAAGTGTAGTCAGTTATAGCTTGTCGTGTGCCAACAGTGGTGCATGATGTGATTGCCTTTCTCCACCTTTGATTTGGCGCCACGTGTACCTATGAATACAGGGAGCTTGCATTTCGACATCAAGCCTGGTTTGACCCAAATTGCATTCTTCATTTGCTCTTCCACTGCAGTTTCAGTTGGTCCTGTAAAAAGGTCAGCATGGATAGTATCATCATACTCATCCTTGAATTTGCAGTACCATGCAGCCAACTTGGATTGGATAACTGTCGCCTTGTACGACCAGACTCTCACTTACTGATGATATTGTTTTGCTCTTTTAAGCTGTTCCTCCTCTGGGCACACCTTACCACCAACTTTTCCAAGATTCCCGGCTGAGATCTGCTGCATCACTGCAGCAAGATCTCCTTCATCATAGTAGTAGAGACACTCTTGAAGTGCACGAATAGCATCTCTACACAACTCATGATCTTCCACCAGCGTCTTTGTGATGCGCTGTAGATAGTGAAACCGGCCAAGGCGGCATGTAATGCCACAACCCGAAAAAATATCGTTCAAAAAACTTGTTCCTCTTGGGCAGATATCAGAAACATGCACCTTTGGGCAAACATTTGGGCGGCCTGAGAATTGGGCAGCTTGGTGTGAATAGTGAGTTTGTTCTTCACTGGGCACAATAAGAACAGATGCTATTTCCCCTGTTTCTGTTCCAATCGAGTGTGCACATTTTGCATTTTGTATGTCTTCTGGCCTGTAGTTTCCCAACACAGCATACGTATGATCATCACAGGTAGTTGTCTTTGCTCCAACACTCTGAATCTCTTGACAGACTCTATCTTTGTCTGATACTCTAGTGGATACTAGTGCAGAGTGTGCTGCGACATCCTTCATGTCACGAAGATCTTTCCCACTTGGGCTGTACTGGCCAATCCAGTCCTCATATACTGGTAAGGGTTCTGTTACCGTTGTTCCAGTGTCTCTCGCTTGTCCCCACAAGTTTCACTTAGCAGTTGTGCAAGTTGGTCGCCATTTCCATGTGTTATCATCAGCTTGTCCATCACATTTGTAAAAGTCTGGCTTAGATGCCTTTTATTGCTGAGTGCATACCTGGGATCCACAGGATACGGGTTGCAAAATTGAGCTGGAAGTTATGCCAGTAATGGGCCATCGTTCCCTTTACATTGATAACCACACCTGGCAGTATTATTGCACTTGTACTTCATGGAACAAGCCCAACTTGTAACCCCAGATATATAAAAATTGGGGTTGCAAATCCGCTGGTCTTGTAGTCATACTTCTGATGAATAAGCTCTCCTTTCCTGCACTCTGGGCAGATTAGGTGAATGCCTGGAAGATTGAGCTCCCACCAGACTAAGTAAATTGTCATGCCCTCAAGTTGACTGTAGTTGTGGTCTGGGCTTTTGGTTTTGTCATCTCTTGGGAAGGTAAACCCCAGAGTGCCAGGAGGAAACTGACGTTGGCAATTCTGGTGCTCCCAATAGCTTTTTCAGCTTTTTCCTCTTTTATCTTTTATTTTGAGTACATTATCTTCAGTGCCACATGTGATGCTTTTGTGGGTTTCCAGGAGGGCATCGATGGCAGCACCAATCACCTTCGAAACAGAGCTTGAATTAGTCATACCAACCAAACAATTTGCCATCAACCTGTTGATTCTCTCCTTCAACGCTTGGACGGAAAATGGAGAAACTTGATCCTCCAAAGAAGCTTCTTTCATGCTACTCTTGCTTGATGGTGGCAATTACACATTTTTTCTCTGCGAAAAACTTGTTGACGTCTGCTTGACTTTTTGGAATTGTGCTGGTGTGAAGTTCCATGCCTTCAAAGGGCCGATTATTTCTGGCCATCATGGACCACCATCTGTCTCATAGTACTGTTTGTTGAGTCGGCAAGTTGGATCATGGGCGCACTTTTTTGCCCCACCATTTTTAATCACAAAGCACCTGGGACATGTCTTTGTTCCTTCATTGCATCTTTTTTCAGCATTGTTTCCAGTCATTGTCTTCTGCCTCTTTGCCGGTTTCCCATGTTGTAGCTGTTGGGTTTGTTTTGGGGGCATTTTTGCATCACCTGCTTGATCTGTTTTGATTTCTTTGATTGGTTTTGCTTGATCTGTTTTGCTTGATCTGTTTCAATTTCTTTGATCGGTTTCAAAATTTTGTGACATCATTTTTTGATTTTAAAAACTGTGATGTACAATAGCGACATCATACTTGGGTGGAGCCTTACGAGTCTCTGCATATTATCATCAAATCAATATCTTTCATGGACGAGCCACCCATCAACCATCTCTTTGAGCCTTGTTGCGTCTTGGCTCATTATCTAATCACAAGACAGATGTCATATTATGATTGAGGATGCTGTAGAAACTTATGAGGGGATAAATAGAAACTGTCTTGAGTAGGGCCCCTAATTGTATTTACTTTGCATCTCATTCTAGTAATTTGTCTTCATCCTCATTATTGCGATTGTCCTCTTTATCCTCTTCTTCAAGAACTGCCATGCTGCGTTGTTGGGGGTTGATGAAGAATCTCGTCAGGGTCTCAGCTATGGCACCTTTCCTTGGTCGAAGGTTTTTCTTCCTTGCCATTTTTCAAGGTCTGAAACTTGTATTTGTGAGGTTTGCAATGGTCCATACGTTTGATCCTACTTGAAGGATTTTGCTTTATTGATTGACATGATTTTCAATTTGTTTTGTGACTCATTTTCTTGACTTGATTCATTTGATTTCTTTGATCGTTTTCACCATAGCTTGATCGGTTCCGTGTCATGTTTTGATTTCTTTGATTGGTTTCAAAATTGTTTGATCGGTTTCTTGTTAGAATAAAGCAAAATGTGCTCTATTGTGAGTGCTTTAGCGCTCAGAACAAACTCTCTGTTATCTAGATTTGTAATCGACTGTACAACACTTTCACCACAATAGTTCTCCTGTGTTAGGTATACTTTGAGTCAAATTGTTCCAATTTGATTAATGTTTGGCTTCAATTGATGATTCAATCTCAAAAGTGAGTTCAACGATTTTCCCTTGGAGAATCCCTCCTTTACAGAACTCGATTCGACTTCTACAAGGATTCTGTGTTGAATGCAGTACTTTGGGACATCTTGCATTATTCCCTACTGCATCGTGCACAACATCAATATTCCACTTGTATAGAATCTTCCCCTTTTTGTGTGGATACAGATTGTCCAACAGACTTGCGTCCGGCAGACTTGCGTCAAATCCCAACATCACGCACGATCAAAGTCCGATTGTACATGTCGAAAACTTTGTACTTGAATAGTTTCTTTTTGGAACGTAAAAACTCATATTTTGTCATATCCCAACACACTCCTGCCATTGTGACAATCACAATTGGCAGCAATGGGACATGCTCTCATTCACTGTTTATTTTGTTTTGTATTTTCATTTTGAACATATACATACTTGTCTGACCTATTCCTGTGGACCAAGAATCATATCCCTGAACTTGCAAAACTTCTCACCTTGCAATGGCTTAGTCATGAAATCCGCAATCATATTGTCAGTTGGACAGTATTCGATCTTAAAATTTCCTTTCTCAACTTGATCTGTGATAAAGAAATAACAATTGATAGCTTGGCTTCATTTGCCCGCGCTCTTGCGACCATTCTCTTCCAGTAGAATCTAGGTCTCCACAGTCCCATGTAGACAACTTAATACAACCGTGGTACAAGTCGATCTTCTGATTTCAGTGCAGATTTGAGTGGCTGCAGAAGCAACATTGGTTCATCATTTTGGCAAAAACTACAGAGGAGCAGTGCAAGTTTTGTAATAGGACTATACTAAGTTTAAAAAGCAACTGAACTGAACCAATTCCTTCTGACTTTATCCTCGTTTCTTCTGAACAAATGTTGCTTCAGATATTGGCTGAAATGTTTTTCGAACAACTTTTTGTTTTTCTTCACTGAGTGGTTCGTCTATGTGCTCCTTCTTCCATCTGCTGACTACATCATCGGCAATCAAATTTCTGAGCGTGCTGTAGTTGATAGAAATAGTTTTACCTTCATCATAAGCAGCCTTGTCAGTTTCACTGAGAAGTTCTCGAGCAACAGCCTCAAGGACCATTGCGTTCATATTCTTGCCTTTCAGACACTTTGCGAAGACAATTCTTCCAGCCACGTACGGAGTTATATCTACCCCTTGCTGTTTCTCTTGTGCCAATCTTCTGTGATTCATTCCAAATGCGTTTGTCACTTGGGCAGCATATTCTTGATTTTGTCTTGTACTTACATGCGCGCTCTTGTCACAGAGATTTGCCATTGTGATCTTGAATTTGCGCTGATACTCTTCTTTGTCCACTGCTTTCTGTTCCTCAATGTATTTGTACAACCTGAGACTATGTTTCAACACATTTTCCAATCGCACAGGACTGTGGCTCAAATCCTCATTATACTCTCCACCATATCTGGACTCTTCCCCCTTGGCGGATGCAGCAGATTCTTTGGATGCTCGCCATTCTGTCATTTCATCTTCGTATGAACATGACAGTAGATTGGGTTCTTTACACTTGATGTCAAGTGGATCTCGAGCAAGACCATACACTGTCACATTCTGATCCTTCTTGCCCGTTCTCTTGCCCAATCGTACCATCTTCACGCTCCGTTTGACGCCTTCCATTGTTGAAGGAAGCACAGCATAGTTATTCAAATAAAAAAAACCTATCTTCATGTCCTAACTCAATAGTCAGATTCCAAAAATCTGCATGGAATGATATCTTAACAATGCTATTGCGTAGTTGGCAAAAGTGTATGGTATTGACACAATCCGGTTTTGCACTTTTGATCAAGAAATCTGCAAACACCTCAATATCAATTGTTTTATCGTTGTGCATGGTAGACTTGAACGCCTTTTTTGTCCTTCCATTAAATCTTCAACAGAGGGATCATTTCCTAAGCTTGATATTATCAGATAATTTGCAACAATTGTCGCTGTTGGTTGTTCACCGAAGCATCCAAGAAACAAGAGCTTGTTACAAAAGTGCTTGTTGTGCTTGTGAAGGGAGCCTTTATACACCTCAAGAAACTTTCTGGCACAATCAATCTGAGCTTCGATTTCCACCAAGCCTTCACAATCCCTCATTGCTTGCCAGAAGGAAGGAAGCTTTGCACTTTTGGGGGTTTGATTTATATACAGTGCTCCTTTTTCAACCTCCTCTTCCAACTCCTGCAACTCGCTCACCTTCAAGAAGTATTGTACAGGGTGATGTGGAGCTAGGAAACCGCTTCGTCCAATGATCTTGTCGGTGGTATGATTGAATTCCATGTGATGGTTGAAGTAGATCTTATCAAAACCAGCCAAGAGTGCCAAATCGCATTTGATCACGGGCTCGTTTGCCAAGGCAAGGAAGTTGCTTCCGCATTTATTCCTGTACGAGTGGGTTCTCTTGACGTCGCAAACGGCCCTGACAAAGTGGACAAGGACAGCAAAATGCTTGTGAATGTACCTGGCAGCCATTCCAATTGTCTTCCACCTTGTTGCAATTGGCTCCTGCATCAATCGAAGCAAATCCTTTGGCACTGTTGCTTTGTCGGGAAATTTATCACGATGTGCAGCTTCTAGCAGATCTAAGTATAGGTCTTTGTCAGAAAAATCGTTTTGGAAGTCCGATAGCGCATGCAATAGTTGCATAACATTCCTTTTCTCAATTCCACCTTCACCAAAGATGCTTTCAGTAGCATTTCGAAGATTGGTCTGGTCATTGTGCAAGGTGCATGGGCAGTGAATGTATTCATTCTCATTAGCCAAGCCCTTTCTCACAAGCTCTTCCTTCATTTTCCCGTTTGTGAAACCCCCACCGCTATTGCTTCCTCCACCCTTGACAATGCCCTTTAGCTGGCTATGCTTATTGCCGTCGAAGACAAACTTTAAGAACGAATGATAGCAAGCATCTCCACCTGATGCTGCATCCTCTTCAGAACCGTCAAAATCAAGATCCACCTCATAAAGACTTTCTTCACCAGACTGCCACCGCCTTTGTCTGCTCCAAGAAAAAGTGCAGTGGCCCCAACCATCAGGGCACCTTGAAAGATGACATTGTGAGCTGCAAAGCGTCGTGTATATCTGGTGCATGTTGTTTGACTCGGCATCATTCTCAAGTTTTGAATGTGGTTCATCATGGTTTTGCGGACAGCCCAAGTCTATAAGCTTTAGGTTGTTTGCGAAAACAAGGCAGCTGTAAATGTGATCGTCTCAAAAGCAACATCGGGGACCTGAACACACAGACTTGCAACTGCTCCAAGAAAGAATTTCATTTGCTCATCCACGTGGCAGATCTTCCTCTTGCACGCCTTCTTGATCGGTTGATGATTGGCCTCTGTCTGCTCCAGGTGGTTCAACCGCTGCTTGGAAACGAATTTGTAGTTGTTCGGGCACTCTTCCAACTTCCCTCCAACAAATGTTCTTCTCTTCCTCGTTATATAATTGCTCGTTTTGGGGGAGGATGGATCGACATAGCAGATGCTGCCCTCTGTGTTGATTCGATTGGTATCACTAGAACAATAGTTTGTATCTTGTTCTGGTGCCGTTCTTCCTTGTTGCTTTGGAAAAGCATCGGAATCATAGTACTGCTTGAAGCTCTCTTGGATCATGGAGAGAATGCCTGGTGAGTCGATTGCTGGTCGCTCCTTCTTTTCGCAAATTTGGAAGAAAAACCGTTGATGTTGATGTTTATTTCAAAATCAAAGCCACCTTCCACAATACCTCAAATTCTTTCGAATATGGCTTTCTTTGCTTTCATTTGACAGTTCTTGTTCGGTGTTACAAGTCCTTAAGCAACAAGAACGTCCAAGCAATCTTTTTGGCTCAACCCAAGCAATATCTTCATAAGCCTTGCTCTCTTCAGTTTCACAGTAGAACAACTGAAACCAGTGAGGCTTCAATAAGGTATGTTTGAGAGCAATGAAGCTATTTGCCAGAACGTCAAATGGGCTCTGTGACAATTCAAGCTTGGTCTGTTGTAGACATGGGAGTTTGAAGAAAGGAATATCTAGAAAATTACTTTTGTGTCCAGATTCATCATTGCTTCTTTCTGTAGTGTTTCATCATTGCATTGCTCTTCACTTGACTCATCATGCATAGACAATGCATTGTCAACATCATCATCATCATCATCATTGTAATGGAGTTCATTGTTGCCTACTCCATGATCATCATCCTCACTTCCATTGCCGATTTCCATTTCATTCACAACCTTCTTCCTTCTTTTCAATTGCCTCATGCTGCTGCTGCAGGATGATGGATTGCGGGTTGAAAGAGGATGAGCTTTGCATCCGTCCCTTGTGAACCAGCGTCTGCATACCCTAACTGTTGGACAATAAGTAATTTAAAACTGATAGGACATTGATTGTTATAAAACGTGACATTGAGGCTATAAATAAAAATAAATTTTGATAAAAATAAATTTTGAATAGAGGCTATAAATAAAAAAAAATTTGAACAGTTTTGCAGAAAACTTGAGTTAACACTCCCTCCAGAACGACAAGGTGCGCATATTTTTTCCAACATCTCATTGGACGCCATGATCCTAGTTTTGACCTTTGGAACTTCATCAAATAGTGTTAGACCTTTCAAAATAGCTTCAGGACATCAACTCGGACAAAACACTACAACCTCACAGTATTCTGATCTGAGCAAAGTTGTCTACATGGGACTGTGGAGACCTAGAATTGTGCTTTTGTTATCCTGATACAAGATATTCTTCTCAATTGGATACCCTTGCCACTCCATGAACAACTTTGTCCATAGTATCATCGTGACAACATTGTCAACAGCAATCAGTTCCGCTTCTGTACTGCTTCTGATATTTAGCTTTTGCTCGTGAGTCACTTGAGCTGCACCTCCTCCAAAGGACAGAGTGTCGCCAGTATGGCTCTTGAAATCTTGATGCACTGCAAATGATGCGTTGATCATCCATTTCATGCCTCCTAGTGATTCTGCGGAAAGTGTCAGGTGATACAACACACTTCTTCCCATCAGACTCTGTAGGCTCTTGAACTCTCAAGGGATATCCAAACGAGCTCTCTGAGAGACATAAAGTCCCCTTGCAACAGTAGTATGGAAGATCTGACGGTACTCAGCACTGACTAACTTCCCTTTACCAGCTTCCAGTAAATTGTTACCAGCTGGTGTTTCCTGCTTTGAATCCTTGTTGACCTTGATAGGTAAATCTTCCAACATGTTCTTGACATATTCGTTCATGCAGATCTTAAGTTTTCCTTTCACCAAGAAATCAAAAGTCATTCCAAGATATCTGTGTATCTTTCCTCTGACAATCGTGCATGACTTGATCAAACCATATCTCATGTTCAACCATCTAGCAAATTTGTCATTTACTTTTGGATCCATGTGACTTGACACAAGATTGTCAACATGAAATCTGATAGTTTGCTGTTTTTCATCAACAACTTTGTTAGCAACACACAGGTCATACAGATTGAAAACAAATACCTTTGCCTCCAAATCACTTCGAAACTGATTATAGAATAGGAGGCTTGATTGTAACATCCGTATATGGCACGTAGTACCCGCACATAGATTACTCGCTTTGTAACGTGACTGATTGGACTGCCGAGTCCCGAGCAGATATATTAGAGCGATTGAAGGCCAACGGTCGTCGCCAATCTCAAGCCCAAGATCAATCATCTATCATCTACTCACAGCTGCTTCAGACCCCCCTAAATACACCCCAATAGCAATATCAATCACCGTCTATCATGCCTAGCAGTAGCTACATCAATGCACTAGTACGCTCTCTCTACAATGAGAGTCAGGAGACCAACGTTGTCATGTTAAGTGGAAGCCAGCCCAAGGTTCGAAGCCCCCATGCATTTGATTTGCAGTCAGAGCCACCAAGTTTGTTCACACGATCAGCCAACACATGGGGAGGACAGTTCAACCCTGATCATTTCCAGCGCAATGCGTTCGCTATGATGTCAGCAAGTCCTGTCAATATGGAGAATGCAGCGTTCGCCGTGATGACTGCCGCGTCGCATCACAAATCTGAAAAAAATGAAAAAAGAAGCGATCGCATCAACGAGAAATCGTATTGGGTCAAAGGAAGCCACGTGGACGAGACCATCACCTACAACCAGTATACCATCGATACTGCCGTCTTCGCTCCAACCACAGAGTCTTTGGAAATCAAGCAAGCGATCCTACAACAGTCTGTGAACTCCATCAACCAGACAAAGACAACAATGGAACACAAGGTAGATTTCTTGATGAAACGCTACACATCTGTGTGCCCAGACGTTCGCTCGCGAGTCAACGCCGCCACCAGCGAATTGTTTGACGTGACTAGTTACGTGTACGAGTTCGCAAGCCTCCATGTCATTGACAACACAGGAAAAGCGATCGCTACAGGACCGGGACCAGGACTTCCAGCACCATTTAGAGCCGCTGCCACATACTTCCGAATAGAGCTCCGATTGGTCCCACGGCTGTGTTCCCTATGAACTGACATTGGAATCGACCCAACAAAGTTCCCACAATCTTCCAACAGAGCTGTATACGTTCCAGTGCCAAGAGTCCAGAACCAGATGGACGTATCCATCACTCGCCAAATGGTAATGGACCAAGCACATCACAAGGAAATCATCGCAGCAATGGCAGTCCTAGGAGAAGAATTCTCGATGAGAGCTGCGACCAGAGACGGAGAGCCAGATAACGAAGCCTACAAAAAGTGGTCCAAGCAACAGATCGCAAAGACCCAATTTCAAGCACTGGAACAAGCACTCACAGCCACCTACGTCGGACTACAACAAGGAATGGAGACGCCACACCAACAACTGGCAAAACTCAACATGATCCGATGCGAAGGAGGCACGATGATGTACGACAGCGTGGCAACTTTAGTTGGCAGAATTGCCACAATTCTAAATGGGTTCAACCACAAGAACCCCCCGCCAACCAACCTATCAGACTTGGCAGGAGTAGCGTTCCAAGCCTTCACACAAGAAATCAAGGACGTTGTGGCTGAACACCTAGAGACAGGAGCAGCAGGACCACTACTAATGGACTACCCCAGCAACCTGTCTCGAATGCACCGTCTACGCACTCAAGTAGAGAAAGAAGAGAGGCGCATCAAGCAACTCGTGGGAATTGCAACCAGCGCGGGACGAGTCAGACCAAACAGAAGCTACGTTCCAGGGCTATCTGCGCCACCAAGTCCAGGAGGAAGAGCTTTTGCAGGATTCCACCAACAAGAATTCCAAGGATTCCAAGACAATTGCTCCTCCCAAACTCCAACAATCGAGACCGCCGGAACCTTCCACACCGCATTGACGCCCACACCAAAGCAAAACGTTCGAGTCACTGACAGACAAGGAAGACAATTGTTGGTCCCGACACCCAACAGCAAACTATACTGCCCACAAGCTGCCCTAACAATGCTAGCATGCATGAGTGCTGCCGAAGAAGCACTCAACATTGAAGAAGAAAGTGACAAAACACCTTCAATCCGTTGTTGGGGATGCCAAAGGATAGGCCACTCTTTCAGAGAATGCCCCCACAAAGGAGATCCGGGAGTTATCAGCCAGTTTAAACAAAGCCTAGAGGACTACAGACTAAAGAGAGAGCAGAGACAACACAAAAGCGAGATAACAAGCTACAAGGATAGTGGCTATATTAATCAAATAATTTATGAAACAATTCAAAAGATTGAGCATCCAGAATCGCGGGAAGATGAACGAAGAACACTGTTGATAAACTTGGCCAAAACAATCACCGAACACATGGGCAACAACAGTGGACAAAAGAGGAAGCAAATGAGAACGGACCCCCCACTCACTTTCATGATGGTCGGAAGCTTTGCAGCAATGGAACAAGCACAAAAATTGGACTTCTCAGTGAACGAAGTCCTAGCAGTGATGCACTTCCCAATCGGCCTCAACCGCGGAGACACAGCCAACTTGAAAGGAATATATGACACAGGAGGATGCTGCAACATAGCAGAAAAAACATACCACCTTGCCATCGCAAAACAATACCCCCACTTGGTCAAACAGGTGTACGACTTTCCAAAGATTCACTACGCCCCCATCAAGATTGGAGGAATCAAAGACAGTGTCAACATCAAGGCAATCATTGAATACTACACCCCTTTTGCCAACGAGGATGGAGAAAATCAAACGTTGATGATCGGATTGACAGAGCAACTACCCATCAACACACTCTTTGGATTACCATTCATGTTGAAGGCAAAGATGGCGCCAGACTTTCATCGAAAAACAGTAACTTCAAGCCTCTTCAACCAAGAGTTTGAATTCACCATGGAGCGACCCACAATGCTTCCAGTGGAACACACCAACATTACACCAAAGAACACATAACACAGATCAATCAGAAGACGAAGCCCACCACAAATGAAAAGAAAAGAAAAAAAGAAAAAAACAATGAAAAAAAACAATGAAAAAAAAAAATGTGCAAAAACTATACACGTACAACGAAACCCATAACACGCGCAAAAACTATACAATGAAACCCATAACACGCGAGAAAACTACACAATGAACCGAAAAATATATCAATATAACACGCGAGAAAACTACACAATGAACCGAAAAATATTAAATATCGCCCCAAAAAAAAACAAAAAAAACCGGACACACACACAACACAACCAGTACTATACCAATACACGACCCAAAACATGACACAAAAAGCATAGTGCAGTATGTTGCGGCACACCACACGATACAAGTTGACCCAAAAGAGTAGCCAACAACAAATATGGTATGTCGCAGCATATGATACAAGTTGACAAAAGAGTAGCCAACAAGAGTAGCCAACAGGAGTAGCCAACAAGAGTAGCCAACAAGAGTAGCCAACAAGAAGGACCCAAACAGTACAGGATGTTGCAGCATACTGTGCTTGTTGACCCAACAAAAGTGTAGCCAACAACAAAGTATAGTATGTCGCAGCATACTCTACAACGTTGAATAAAAACCCAACTCCCAAGACAAAGGACCAGATATAGCAACCCCCTCCCTGAAATACGTGTGTACAACGACTAAGATGAGGATTGATCCTCCTGTTCTGACCGTCGTACCGCAAAGCACCTAGTCAAACTTTGGACCTGGACGCAACTGTCAGACACTTGAAGCCGCTTGCCAGCAACCTGGACGTCAGAGAGAATCCTGCAGCCTGATTTGCAATTGAAGGTTAGATGGCAATTTTTCTTTGGCTACCTTGTTCGGTGCCAGCAGCCATTCATCAAAAAGAGGGAGGTGAAAACAGACCAAAATGAGACGTTACAACAGAGTCGCCTAAATGGAAGAAGAGGGGACGTAACGTGACTGACTGGACTGCCAAGTCCCGAGCAGATATATTAGAGCAATCGAAGGCCAACGGTCGTCGCCAATCTCAAGCCCAAGATCAATCATCTATCATCTACTCACAGCTGCTTCAGACCCCCCTAAATACACCCCAATAGCAATATCAATCACCGTCTATCATGCCTAGCAGTAGCTACATCAATGCACTAGTACGCTCTCTCTACGATGAGAGTCAGGAGACCAACGTTGTCACGTTAAGGCTTTCCGTTCTCTAAAACAAAGTATTTGCAATACTCTGGGACCATGTCAATCAATATCTGGACCATCATGCCAGTGATTTTCATGTAGATTTGATCTTCTCCTTCCTTAGCTTCAGGAATATAAGTTTGAATGAAAGCGTTAGGAACGTCCATTGACATGATATCTCTACCTTTGTGTGCATCAATAACACAATTATTGATGATTGCTTCTTCCAAAGCAGTTGGACTTGCAGTATCCTCTTGCGACAACCATTCATGAGTTTCATTGCCTCCGTATACTAGGCGACCTTTAATTGTTGTTTTGAATTGCTTCTTCGCAAGTGACATCATTGCTGATTGGGCCTTCTTTCGCTCAGAAGCGGTCATGTCTTTCACAAATTTGGGAGTGAAACAATCTCTCAAGAGCATTTGTCTCAATTCCTTATCTACAGCATCCTTTCCATCATTACCAAACTTCTTCAGTCCTTGATTGATGTAATATTGTTGGATGAAGTTCAGACCATCGTCAGTATCGAGCTTGGCCTTGATCTGCATAATGCAACGAGGGATCAGAATGGCGTCATGCTGTTCATAAGCAGCTTTCTTCTCATTCCCAATCTGTTGGAAACATAGATTGAGCTGTGCTTCAAGGATAGCTTTACTGTCTTTAGTACTGCGACTTCCTTCTTTGGTACGAATACCAGATTTTGACTTGTTCTTCAACGGTTTCAATTCTCTCTCAATGTTTGCGTCTTGTCGCAACTCGATTCTTGTTCTTATTGGCAGAACTGCCACTCCTGCTTGAAGGCCATTCTCTTGGTCTCTTTGGAACTTGGGAAATGTTCAGCCCAGACATTGCAGCTTGCGCATACGTCTGCCCAGATCGAGTGACTTTTGCTACTTGAGGCTCTTCAGGCTCAAATACAATCTCTTCTTCTGGTGGCTCTTGTAGGTCCTCCAGATCAGTAACGAGGCTCCCAATACCATCGATTCCTCTATCGACATTTTCTTGATGGTGATCCAAATCGGCCACAATAGGTTCTTCCTCTTCATCGCTTTCATCCCCCAAATCATCATCTGATTCATAGACATCATCTCCTTGGAATCTGACAGTGAGCTCTGGCATATCATTGACATCATTGTCTGCATTTGACAAGCGCTCTTCTCTTTTGGAGTCGTTGATATGATCAAATTGTCCATGTAGGTTGAATTCACGTTCATCTTCATCTTCAGGTTCATAGTCCCGATCAAAGGCTTCTTCTAAATAACCTTGTTCCGTGTCATCCACTCCTGCAATTTGATCGCCATCTTAAAATGTCTTTAAATCTCTCTTCTTATCAAAAAACTTCATGGAAGTAACACGTTCAGCAAGCTTCAACATGCTGGATTACTTGGTCGGTAACGGGTAGTACAACGACCTTGGGTCGGGAGATCATCTTCTTAGTATTGAGGTTGAGCACTCAGTGCCCAGTACATTGTCCCTTTGTAGGTTCAATGTAGATCGCTTCGATACTCCAGGGTTCCATCATATTGCTGAAATCCGTCCCAATTGCATGAACATATTGTCCAAGTTCAGCAACCATGCCACTCTTGTAGTTGATAGCGATCAATCATGCCAAAGCAATCTTTGGACCTGACGCCTCTACATTGAAAGGCAAGTCAACAAGACCAACGTACGACGACTTCTTCAGTCCACCAGAGGAATTGTATCAACATAATCGATCTATTACCGTCTGTATTGATCATATGGAGATCAAGAATGCAAAGTTTCTCACCTGCATTGATACCTTTGTGTGTTATCGCTCATGTATTCCCATGCAATAATAATAACTGAAACATTAATTGATTAAATGCTAGGTAGCGCATACGATTGCCGGTGGAATGGTCGGCTGTAAAGGTCAAGTACTGTGGAGCGGCGAGTCAACAACAAGTTTGAACCATGTGAGGCGTCTGAAAAATCAGAAGTTGCTCTAGTCAGAACCAGCTGGTTCGGACTCTACCCGCAGCGTGGCAGGGTGATTTTGGGGCGTTGCTTCCACGAAACGTTGTTCAAGGGGAATGGTCCGCAGGGTGGAAGAAGCGATGAAGGATACGGCGTTGAGGCGCCAGAGCGCGGCGGTAGGCCGTGCGTTCCATCCTCACCAGCTTCAGCCACTCCTCACGGTCTACCAGTGGTTTGTTCAAGACTGTCCGGCGCTTGACCGAAAGCATGCGTTGAACAACCTTAGGTAGGTCAGTTGGACCCATATCAAACTGGTTGTGTATCCCGTCGTTGACCTGTTGGCTGCGCTCTTGTAACTGTACATTGTCCTCCAAGTGTTGTACCGAGTTCCGATGTTCCCACAACTGGAAGCCCAGCAAAATCAACTGATGCGAGAGGCGTGAGGCCCATAAGGTCGGAGAGCGTTGGCTCCCGCGCGACTGCAGATATTCCTCCTGCAATGGGGCCCATTGGCGGGACAATCTTCCTTCCAACAAGCCTTGGTAACCAATGCGTTGCTGGGAGCGGAAGGCGCTGCTCAGTCGACCTGGTACCATTCGAAT